GACAGAGGTGGCTGAAGTTTAAACTATGGTGGCCAAGGCCACCACTAACCCCCCTTCGGTTCCACCTCTGCACCTGGTGGAGGATAAAGCGTCTCCCTCCAGGATCACCACCCTGCGTCGCCTCGGACAAAGAATAAAACCTCCCTCTGTTCTTCTCCACAGTAACTTCCCCCCACTAGAACATCTTGCAGTAAAAACATTTAGGTTTAGTGCAGAAAAACACTCAAAGCTATAAAAACATTCAGAGTTCAGATCGTTGGAACCACTGGTTTATTTTTCCAAACCTTTCTGAATCAAATCGTTCGTCTTACTCAAGACGCTACAAGTGAGAACAACGAAGTTCTTCTGTAAATGTTTTTACCAGAATCTAAATCTCCTCCGTTCCTCCAGACGTGAAATCAGCTGGCAGCTCAAACACGGTGAAACGGATCAAACTGGATCTGGAGCCGCAGAACGTCACGTTCGACTTTCTGAGCGGATCGATTCTGGTTCTCGCGGCACGAACAACCGCGTCGTCTCCGGTAGTTGAACTATTGAGGAGACGCGTCGCAACTTCTGCTCGTTTGTGCGAGTCGACCGGAGGAAGTGCCTCCAAGCAAACGATGACCTTTGACCTTACACGAACCCCGACGAGCACGTCATCGATCAGCCCCCCCCTCCCCGGATCAATAACGCTCTGGGCGCCTAATAACCCCAAACATTTAACACATTTTATTCAACTTGATTCCAGGAGGTTAAAAATTAAAACTACTTTCATTTATAAAATCCTCCCAGTTCATTAATCACTGATCAAACTTATTAGAAACCAACAAACAACGCCCGAACGACAGGAAACGTCAACACGACTTCCTCTGAACAGACGGACGACTCTGAACGGACCGCTCACGTCAGGAGTTGAGTCATCGGCCCACCGCCGGACTCCATGCCTGCTGGGATCAGCAGCCACAAACTAATCAGCAGCCACAATCTAATCAGCAGCTACAAAACTAATCAGCAGCTACAAAACTAATCAGCAGCTACAAACTAATCAGCAGCTACAAAACTATTCAGCAGCTAAAAAACTAATCAGCAGCTACAAACTAATCAGCAGCTACAAACTAATCAGCAGCTAAAAAATTAATCAGCAGCTACAAACTAATCAGCAGCTACAAACTAATCAGCAGCTAAAAAACTAATCAGCAGCTACAAACTAATCAGCAGCTAAAAACTAATCAGCAGCTAAAAAACTAATCAGCAGCTACAAACTAATCAGCAGCTAAAAACTAATCAGCAGCTAAAAACTAATCAGCAGCTACAAAACTAATCAGCAGCTAAAAGACTAATCAGCAGCTAAAAAACTAATCAGCAGCTACAAACATCCGAACGGTAAAAGCAGCTGATTCCACACAGTCTGCTTGAAGGTGGATTACTGAGGAATGGGTCTGACCGGACCCCCCCACCCACCCCCAGGTGTTGCTCTCGCTTCTTTTAGAGTTGAACTTAAACCTGGACAAGCGGTTCTTCGACGTCCTCCGACCCCGAGGGTCTTAAAGAGTGAATGTTTGTACCGACAGGAAACACTGACAATTGTTTGTTTGTTGTTGTTTGTGTCCAAGGAACCACAGACTGACACACCTGGTGGAGGACACACACTCACCGTCCATACATGATGGTGGCCATCTTGGATTTTGATGCGGCACTAGAAGGAGCTAGAACCGTCCTGGGTCTCCTCCCAGTCGGACATGCACGAAGCACCTCCTTATGGAGGCGCCCAGGGAGCATCCTTACCAGATGAACCTCCTCGACTGCTCCTCTGGATGTGGAGGAGCAGTGGTTCTACTCCGAGTCTCTCCTGATAACTGAACTTCTCAGCCTGGAGAGTCCAGCTGCCCTGCAGAGGAAACCCATCTAGACCTCCTGGATCCACGATCTCATAAGAAGAGAAGAAGTCGGAGTTTGGTTTCGTGACCCGTCGAGGTCTGTTTGGGAGAAGTTTCTTCTCTAAAGCAGAACAATTATTCAGGAGGAGGAAGTGGAAACTAGACGAGTCAAAGTCGGGGGAGGACGCACCCGCCAGTCAGGAGTACCAGTAAGTTCAAGAAGAGTGATTGTAGTTGAGCTGGTCTCTCTGGGACGAGAGCAGTTGACAAACGGCATCGTGAGGGCGTCCCTGAACGTCTCGCCACCTTCAAGGGCTTCTTGACTTCCTCGCGCTAGTCTCATTTATCGGCTTTATCGTTTCTTCTCTTCTCTCTTTGCTAAAAGCAGCTAAGCTGAGAAGCTAAGCTACGAGCTAAGCTAACAGGTCGACCTCGGGGGGGAACAAACCTCCGTCTTGTCCAAGCTCCAAAATTCACGGATGAAACTCGTGCCTTCGTGTAAAAAGTTGTTTTTCTCTGAAAAAAGAAGCGGAGAACTTGTTCACTGATTTTTTTTTATTAAAAGCTTTGTGCTAAATGCTAAAGAGCTCAAACCACACAGATATATTTCAAATATTATCGTTTATTGCAATAATTTCTGAGACAGTTAATCGTCCAGCAGAATTAGTTATCGTGACAGGCCGACGTCTCCGTCAGAAAACACACCAGTCCTGAGAGCCATGTTGATCATAAATAATTTAAAAATAAATAAAAATCTGTGAACTCATGTGGATAAAATCATGAACCTGGAAGCGGCAGTCGGCAAAATAACGTGCACGGCTCAAAACGCAGCCTCACGGCTCGCTGCGAGCAACAGTCACAGCTCAGAACAGCCTTAATGGAGCTTTTCCAGTCAGGAAGTGGTTTTAATGGTAAATGGACCTCGTCCTTTTCCGTCTGACCAAGATCCTGAGAGTTCTTTACAACAATCTGTGCCTCATTCACCCATTCATCCAGCAATCTACTAGATCTATATCAGAGCTTTATCTCATCCACACACTGATGGGACACATCAGAGGCCATGAGGGGTTCAGGGTCTTGCCCAGGGACACTTCGGCACGTGACTGCTGGTGGAATCGAACCCCCAACTCTGCCATTGGAGGACGACTGCTCTAACCACTGAGCCACAGCCGCTCCACCCCCTCCCACCGAAGAAGAAAAACAACTTGTAGCGTCCCAGCACCCGTTTCCGTCATCGAAGTTTATTTTGAAAGGATTCTAAGGTGGAAGCTGTAGACACAGGTGAGCTCATCGTTACTTCTGAAACCAACTCAGTGAGAACTTGTGATTAAAGCTCGTCGCTGTGGATCAATGAAACTGATTGAATTATCAACAACAGAAGAGACCGGAGGCCTGAAAGAGTTTAATTAGAAACAGTTAAATATCCAAACAACACTCAGACAAGCAGAAGATAAACCACAAGTTAACGTTTCTCCTGGGAAAAATGTTCAGGTTTCCAAACACCGACTCCCAGAACACGTCACTGAACGCATCACGAGAAACTGGATTTAAAGTCGACACTCGCTGACCGTTTCGAGCCATTTCCTGAATTCCTGGCATTCACAGTGGGAGTGTGTGTGTGTGTGTGTGGGGGGGGGGGGGGGTCCTGCAGGGATCACTGAAGGAGGTTCCAGCTGTCAGACAGCTGTGAGCTCATGTCACCTCCCTGTTACGTAACTCAGCTCTGCATCGTGACCGACAGCAAACGTCACGTTGACTTTATCTGATGTGGCCCGAGGAGCTGAAATCTGTGGTGGTGGTGGTGGGGGTGTTTAATATGAAAACCACACGAGCCACATCAAGTTTCTAACATTTACATTTCCTCAACATTTTATCGTAACCCCCTGAGAGCCGAGCGCTGGTTCTGCGGTGCATTTTCCAAATCTCCTGGACGTTTGTGATGAGATGGACCTGATGTGTCTAAATAAAGATTTCTCTTGGAACAGGAAGTTGTATTTTGTTACATGGTTATGACATACTTTGTAAAATACAAATAAAATAAAAAAAGTCCTCAAATGTTTTTTCTGGACTGGATTTGAACAGAGAGTGGAAATAAACCTAAATGTTTTTGCTCCAACACATTCCAGTGGTTTGTTTTTATTCCTGTCTGAGGAGACGCAGAGCGACAGATCCTGGAGGGAGGAGGGAGACATTTTATCCACCACCAGGTGCAAGGGTGGAGCGGGGGGGGGGAGTGGCCACTAAAGATTAAACCTGGGCCACCACAATTATTTGATTAAACTACATTTTTTAAGCAATATCAAAACTAGAAAGCAAAATCTAGTGGTGGCAACATGGTGGATCAGTTGGTAGAGGAAGGTTGCTGGTTCAAATCTCACCTGGGGGCCTTTCTGCGTGGAGTTTGCATGTTCTCTCCGTGCTGCGTGGGTTTTCTCCGGGTACTCCAGTTTCCTCCCACAGACCAAAAACATGCATGTTAGACTGATGGTAACTCTAAACGTTCCCTAGAGAGAGAGAGTGAACGGTTGTTTGTCTCGTTTGTCTCCGTGTCCCTGTGATGGACTGGAGACCTGTCCAGGGTGTCCCCGCCTCTCACACAGTGACTGGTGGACATGGACACCAGTGACCCAAAAAGGAAGAAGTGGGTAAAGATGATGGATGGAGGTTTAGCATTAGCAAAGCTAATATTTTAGTTAGCAGATTAGCGGTTAGCAAAGCTAACTTTTTGGTTAGCTGTGTCCAGCTCTGATTAAAATACATCCAACCTGCATCCTACGTTATTTTGGTCACTTCTTTCCCAACAAAACCCTTTTTGTTGTTGTTGTTGTAATTTTAGCAGAAATAAAAACCCCAGAACATTTCCGGGTTCTTCCTGAAACACGCGTCCTCTGATCTCATCTCGGTTTATTTTGCAGAACGACCGAGTCGGTTCCAGAAACGGAGCGACTCGTCCGTGAGCGTCGGGCGTTCTCGTTTCCTCTGGATCACGCCGTGGTCTCGATCGGCCGAGGCCGGGCTGTTTCGGCTTCACGAAGGAGAAGTTCGGCTCGTTTCTGTTCGACCCGGTTCTTCCAGGATGAAACCTGCTCCGGTCCAGGACGTCTGTTGATTAATCTCAGGTGATCATGTGACTTACGATGTCCCAAACGTTTACATAGAAAAGGGTCAAATCTTTCAATAAATGTGAGGAAAATTATCTTTAATTATTGAGTGGACTGATGAGTTAATGACCGTCTTCTTTTTAAACATTTTCCAACACCAAGTTGTTCCTGTCGACAGCACCTACCGCCGGCTCCACCTCCAGAAACAACCGGAGTGTTTCTGCCACCGTGCTCTAAAAACCTTAGAGCTGAAAACAGATTTTCTGTCCTTCAGATGAATTTTAGATTCAACGAATAATAAAAACAGCAAAGGATTCAATCTAAAAAAATATTCTTTGCTCACTTCCTGCTCCGTCGACAGGAACTTGGGTCAGTTTTAAACGTCTCTGAGCCTTTAACGCCCGGACGATTCAAAGGTTCAGAACAAAATCAGTCCAAGTGACCGCTGCCGACCTTCAGAAAGACCGAAGAACCGTTGATTAATCCCATTTATTAAAATTTAATCTGGCTGCTTGGACGGAGAGAATAAGAAAGAAGTTCAGGCTCAGTGTCAAAAGAAAAAGGTTTTCTTCTGCCAAGTTCTAGTTTTTGGTCAAACGCTCGATACGTCAAGTTCAGAGAACGTATTGTGGAGGACTCTCAGCTACTACCACTCCAAACTTTAGCTCGCTGTGTAAAACTGACCACATTACAGCCGTTTCTAGATCCAAGGTCTGATGGAGGTGGCGGCCATCTTTAATTGGACTGGCTCCAACAGGAAGCCAGGTCCATGAGATGTTCATGTCCTGATCCATCCAGCTGCTCCTGAGATATTTTGCTAACAGACAGGCAGGGCTCTCGGGCTCAGAGTACAAGCTGTGGCTCGGTCTCAGCTACTACCACACCAACTGTGAGCTGACCATCCGTGAACCTGACTGAGCTACAACCTGTTGTGTTTGACAGCTGATTGGCTGCGGCGGCCATCTTTAATTGGACCGGCTCCAACAGGTTTCATCATTGACCACAGAGGACCCAAAGCATTTCTTAAAACACGGCGCAGGGAGGTGGTTTCTGGAGCTCCACGTACCTGGATGGGGCATGGTGATGGTCTCGTTGGCGTTGGCCGAGCCCACGTTGAAGATGACCACCGCCGACGCGTTGTGGGCCGCGGCGTGCCGGATCTTGTCCCTGTAGGTGCAGTTCCCCGGGGCGATCAGGGCGATCCAGGCTCCGGCCTGCGGGGGCACCGCGAACCGGGTGTGCGGGTCGCAGGCCTGGCGGTCCAGCGGGGACGCGGGCAGGACCACCACCCCCCTGGAGTCCCGCTTCGGGGAGTGCTCCCCGTAGCGGCCGCACTCCGTCTTCTCGGTGCGCAGCTCCGAGGTGGCCGGGTCCACGAAGGTGATGTTCACGAAGGCGGTGTACCACTCCTCGCGCTCGGCCACGGTGAAGTCCAGGCACAGCAGGTGGACGAAGCAGAAGGAGATGAGCCAGGTGGAGAGGGCCAGGCTGCGGCAGGCCGCCACCAGCGAGCCCGGGGCCATGGCGAGCCTCTCCCCGGACTGAGAGGTCGGAGGACGGCGAGGGCTTCCGCGCCGACACCTACTCCACCATGCTGTCCGTCCGACCGACACAGAGATTAATAATCCGGGGTTAAAACGTCTGCTCTGGAGCCGTTTGTTTCTCCTCTCCTTTCAGCCGCTTTCATCCGCAGCTGTCGGGCTACAGAGCCGCCTGTTAGCCGCCTCCATTTCCAGGCGACTCCGCAAACAAAACAAACGCGGTGAAATCCCCCAAACACCGAGAGTCGGGAGTAAGAATGAGCACCGGCACGAAGCGACTGGTCCGACCGGAATAACACCGCAGGCAGGGGGGCTCAGACCACACACGAGTCCGTATTTTAAGGTTTTTATCGCTTTTTCCAGCTGAAGCTGCGCTGAACTGTTAGCAAAGCTGCATTGTTGTTGGCTCCGAGCCACAGTTAGCAGTTAGCAGCGAAACGTAGTTCCGGTTGCTGCTGAAAAAATAAAAGTAACCGTATTTTAACTGAAGAGCTCAGGTGGCTTCAGTAACACTTTAGTGTTGCGTTAAAATAGTTTTCGGCCTCACTTTGACAATGAGTTCTCTTGCTGTGCGTTCGTGTAATTAACGCGGCATAATGTTGATGACGGTATTTTATTTTGAAGGTCAAAATGAGAAACATCCGTCGTGTCCGTGTAAACCGCCATATGCTGCCATCTAGAGGCCAAGAAAGACGGAGTCACGTTAAAACTTGAACGCACACAACTTTATCTTCTATTTTATTTATATTACTCGAAAAATTATTCATTAGGCCGCTAATTTATTTTCTGATAAAACCAGAACAGCCCAAATAAACGAAGCTCCTCCTCCTTTCTGACTCTGCAAGACCCGCCTCGACGATACTTTCATTGTTCCCTCCTCCACAGATCTACAAACAGAGGGATGTGTCTAACCACGGATGTTCAGGTTAGCAACGTGACGTGTAGATCGGCGCTGCGCCTGGCTCCATTTAAACAGAAACGATACTCGTTTGAGAGGTGAAATGGCGCAGAAAAGAAGTTTGGACCAAGAACATTTGAATTGTTCGATCTGTTTGGATCTCCTGAAGGATCCGGTGACTCCTAAGTGTGGACACAGCTTCTGTACGAGCTGTATTGAAAACCACTGGGATAGAGAAGATCACAGAAGATACTACACATGCCCTCAGTGCAGGAAACGTTTCAGACGGAGGCCTGCTGTGGCCAAAACCATCGTGTTAGCAGATTTGGTGGAGGAGCTGAAGAAGAACCAACAAGCTGCTCCTGCTGATCACTGCTATGCTGGACCTGAAGACGTGTCCTGTGACGTCTGCTCTGAGAGGAAACTGAAAGCTGCCAAGTTCTGTCTGGTCTGTTTGGCTTCTTTCTGTGAGAAACATCTCCAGCCTCACCATGAAGCTCCACCATTACAGAAACACCAGCTGGTGGAGCCCTCCAAGAAGCTCCAGGAGAACATCTGCCCTCGTCATAATGAGATGATCAAGGTCTTCTGTCGTACTGATCAGAAGTTAATCTGTTCTCGCTGCTTGGTGGATGAACATCAAGGACATGAAACCGTCTCAGCTGCAGCAGGAAGAGCTGAGAAGCAGAAGGAGCTCGAGGCGAGTCGACAACAAATCCAGCAGAGAATCCAGGACCAAGAGAAAGATGTGAAGCTGCTCCAGGAGGAGGTGGAGGCCATCAATGTCTCTGCTAATAAAACAGTGGAGGACAGTGAGAAGATCTTCACTCAGCTGATCCGTCTCGTCCAGAAGAGAAGGAGTGAAGTGAAGCAGCAGATCAGATCCCAGCAGGAAACTGAAGTGAGTCGAGTCTTGGAGCTTCAGGAGAAGCTGGAGCAGGAGATCACTGAGCTGAAGAGGAAAGACGCCGAGCTGGAGCAGCTCTCACACACAGAGGACCACAACCAGTTTCTCCACAACTACCAGTCGGTGTCAGCACTGGGTGAGTCTCCACACTCATCCAGCATCCAGGTTCATCCTCGGAGATACTTTGAGAACATCACTGCAGCTGTGGAGGAGCTCAGAGACAAACTATGTGGTGGCCCAAACAACGGTCAGGCCGTCTTGAGCCTGACAGGACCTGATGTTTTGCTGTCACATCCAAAGAGCAGAGCAGAGTTTCTCAGATCTTCTCAAGACGTCACTCTGGATCCAGACACAGCCCACAGACGTCTGGTCTTATCTGAGGGCAGGAGAAAAGCGACATTAGTGGAAGAACAGCAGTCGTATCCTGATCGTCCAGGCAGGTTTCTGTCCTTGGAGCAGGTTCTGAGCAGCGAGAGTCTGAGCGGACGGTGTTACTGGGAGGTGGAGTGGAGCGGCAGAGGGGTCTGTATCGGGGTTTCCTACAACGATAGCAGCAGAAATTTTACTACACTCGATTGTAGATTTGGATTCAGTGACAAATCCTGGGCCTTATATTGTGGCACAAACGGTTATGCGTTTAGCTACAATAAGAACCACACGCCAGTCCCAGGTCCTGGCTCCTCCAGGGTCGGGGTGTACCTGGACCACAGGGCCGGTGTTCTGTCCTTCTACAGCGTCTCTGTAACCATGACTCTCCTCCACAGTGTCCAGACCAAGTTCACTCAGCCGCTCCACGCCGGAGTCTGGCTCGTCGGCTGTGGATCAACTGCTGAGTTCATTGAAACCAAGAGAAACAGCCGAAGGGTTGTGTTCTGTAAGCCTGAGGCCTCACGGGTCCCAGAGCAGCACGAGGGGTAAAGAAACCTTAACATGGATGTTCGGTTACCGTAATTTCTGATGTATAGAGCGCACCCGAATATTCGGACATCATTACCTGCAGTGTTCCCTCAGCGAGGACTGAACTAGACTAAAGGACCTTCTCCTGCTCCGCTCCTGTTTCCTGGAACATCTTGTAAAAACACCTGAAGCTCTCGACCTTTGACCTCTCCAAGTGGCTTCAAACATCTGATAAGTTCCTACAAGAACCAGCGCAGACGTGTTCCTGTTTGTAGTTTTTACACCGCTTTATAATCCAGCTGTTTTTTTACATTGTCTTTTAAATACCATTTGTGAAGTCAAATATTTGTACTCGGCATTAAAGCAGTCGAGCCAGATATGAATGGAGACAGAGTTAACGTTTATCTTTTATAAGTTAATTGAACCGAGCCACGCCTTAATCTAGCTTCTCTTGCTTGAGGTCTGCTTGCTGCAGGCTTCGGGCGGCACAGGAAGTCTGGTCAGACGATCTGCAGAGAGCAGCTTTGATCCTCTGGTTTGCTCCCATTGTCTCCCGAAAATGCATTTTTGCTGATTTGTCAATGTCTTGCTTTAACTGTGGCGTGAATTAAATTCTTTTAAACTAAGGTGAAGTCTCCTGGTGGTACCTGCTCGATCCAAACCAACACGCAAAAGGTGTTCGGACCTTTTAACACATTTTATTTTCACTTGTTAAAAAAATCTATATTCTCAATTTGTACGCATGTTTTATGATTGTCTGTTCTTCTCGTCACTCTTTACTAAAACCAGGTCTCTGGTGTAACGGAGTCCCCGAGGCTCAATGAGACGAACCTGTGGAAATAAAGGTTCAACGAATAAAACTAAAAAAACTACGTGGTTACTGAAAAGAACAATGCTAACCAAAATTATTAACGATGAACTTTTTACCCATAATCCTCCCTGAGGCCATGTGACAAGCAGTCGAACCAATAGTCATTGAGCCTCCAGGAGAGGCGTGTATTGATGAGACTACAGGTGGGACTGACGGAAACACGTCGACGGCTTGATTCTGCCGAGGGGCCCAGCTGGTGTCGAGGCAAGGCAGCCAACTTAAGACCAGAAAGTTGCAGGTTCAACTCCCCGCCATGCCCACACGTCGTGGAGTCCTTGAGCAAGACACTTAATTCCATACCATTTTATTTATAGAGCACCTTAAACCGCGACGGGGCCAACCAAAGTGCTGTCAGACAGAAACAAACAGGTAAAGCACACAGCAACACAAAGTAAAATCAAAATAATAGCAGATAATAACATGATGATCAACACGGATCAAACATCGTTGAAAACCTGGTACCTCTGCGACCCGATCACGGATAAGCTCTAGAGCGTATGTGTCAAACTGAAGGCCCGGGGGCCAAACGTGGCCCCTGTTGACATCTTACCTGGTCCCCAAGATGTCGTTTTAAATGTAAAGTACTTTTATGACTTTAATTTTTTTCAGTAATCTTTGATTATGATGTCAAACGTGCAACAGAGAACGTCAAATGAGACCGGTCCAACTCTTGTCGAGGAACCTGCAACCAAGGGAAGATGTTGGTATCAGACTGGACTTCATGTAGATTCTGAAACCGGCCCTTTGTTTGAAAAAGGTTTTAATTTTGGCCCTTTTGTCAGTGGGTTTGACGCCCTGGTCTAGAAGATGGATGGACTGTGGACGCTCTTAAAATCCCAAAGATCAAAATGAAATGATGATGATTTAAATCAATCAATCCCTCAGAGCTGCTGTCGTCACATGGTTCCGTCAAAAAGTCATAATTTAAATGTCATTTTTCTCTTTAATGAAGTGACTTCTTTTTACTTCCTGCCACCTGTGGGTGTTGAGTTCAGCTCATTGTGGCAGGAAGTCCTGCTCTGTTTTTATCTGCAGTTCCTCTAATCAAACACCAGATGATGGAAAACACAACGGATGGATTCAGAGCAGAGAAGTTCTGAAATATCAAATATCAGTGGAAGAACTTCTGTCTCATCCTGATCATCCAGACAGGTTCACTGGTTGGTGGCAGGTTCTGAGCAGAGAGAGTCTGACTGGGCGGTGTTACTGGGAGGTGGAGTGGAGCGAGTTGGGAGTTGAAGTAGCCGTCGTGTACAAAGACATGAGCAGAGCAGGGAGGTCAGAAGAAAGTAGATTTGGATTAAATGACAAATCCTGGTCTTTAGGATGTTTTTTATCTGATTACACCTTTCGGCACAACAAAGTTAAAACTTGTGTCTCTGGTCCTGGTTCCTCCAGAGTCGGGGTGTACCTGGACCACAGGGCAGGTGTTCTGTCCTTCTACAGCGTCTCTGGAACCATGACTCTCCTCCACAGAGTCCAGACCACGTTCACTCGGCCGCTCCACGCCGGACGTCGACTTTATAGTGAAGACTCTGCTGAGTTGATTAAACTGAACAAATAGAAAACATTTAAGGGTCAGTTTGTTAAAATGTGTTTTAGTTTGAGTTTAGTCCCCATCAAGTAAGAACTCAAGCACTGATGTTTGTCCTATTCAGACATCCTTCAAATTGAGCTTTGTAAAGTTTAAATTTATAGGTGATCTTAAAAAAGTTCTGCTTTGTAGATTTGACTTATTAATTTGTTCATTTGTCTTTCAATTTGACTGTGTGTATGGAGTTGCAGTCTTTTGTACAAACTGTACAGGAAGGGACTGAGTACACAGCCCTGGGGTACTCCATCAAATCCTTTTCTACACTGCCAAAATATTGTTTTCTTTTTTTAACCTTCCTTCAAGATGAGCTTTGTGGGTTTTAAATAGATGTGGGTGGATTGATCCAAGTTTTGATCAGTACAAAGTTTGGTATCAATATTCGTTATCAGTGTAATAAAACTTCAGCATCAGTTTCTCACCTGTGTAATGGGAGACTGTTTAAAACCACTGTTGTTTTTTTAACATTAAAAAATAACAGCAGAAATAAAGTTTTAATTTCTTCCAGAGGGATAATTATGTGCTTATTTAAAACAGAGAGATGTTCTCACAGTGAATGGAAACAAAATGTTTTGGGGCTGCTCCATGAAAATCCTGAACTGAATCTTTTATTTTGAAAATAAAGCCAGCTGATCAAAATCTGCTGAGTCACTGATTGCCAAAGGTGACTTGCTTATCTTCGAGGAGAAGAAAATAGTTGTGATCATTTTTTTTCCTAAATTTTAAGAGATGTGAATCACAAATTGTGACCAAATAAAAATAACTTGTTTTTGGTTGTTTCCTCTTCAGGGGTCTCCACAGCGAGACATCCTCGTCTCCTGTGTCCTCTGTCCTCACTCCAACATGTCCTCTTTAACTGCATCCACATGTCTCCTCTTTGTCTTTTTCCTGCAGCTGCATTTCTAACATCCTTCTACCAATATA